GCAGAAAGACCTGGAAAGGCCCAGCATGGGAGGGTGTGTGGAATGTTCTAGAAACGGAAGAAGCCTTATGGCTGGTACACTCAGAGGGGAGGCAGAGAGGAACAACCCTAATAAGTACTTACTGCTTTTCCATCCTGTCTCACACACTTAACCTGCGCCAAGTGCACGTTTTAACTCCGCCCACTTGGTTCCCACGCAAGGCGGCCGAGCGCGGGGGCATCCAGGCCACCCAGACCTCGGGGGGACGGCTGCACTTGGCCACGACACCACCCACGCTCCAGCCCCGGCCTGCTCACCGCACTCTCCTTGCTGTAGGCCAAAACCTTGTCCTCCTCCTTGGGGTGAAAAATCAGAGTTTCCACGGAGAAGGGGACGAGCTGCTTCTGGAAGGTGGCCCCCTCGTCCGTGCTAAGGAACAGGCTCTGGTCCCTGTCGCTGAGTGAGGAGCTCACCAGGACGACCTGAAACACAAAGCCGGGAAGACGTGAGGCCTCCCCGCTGCACACCGCGGACGGCAGGGCGGGAAGCAGCCAGTGGCCAGCCCCTGCCCATTCGTGCTGACCCGTCACTCATCCGCTAGTTTGTTCACCCGCTCAGCAGGTGTTCCCCGGCCCGGGGTGCCGGGCGGGCATCGTGGGGACGGTAAGGCCCCGACAGTGAGCCGGGTGTTTCCACGGAAAATGATCCGTTCTGTGGGGGCGGCAAGAGACGAGCCACCACGTCACCCATCGCGCGGGAAGTACCGTTCCCAGGCTGACCGGTGCCCCAAGGAGACAAAGCAGGTGCGGGGAGAGGCTGGCACAGGGCTGCCTACAGAAGCGCAGAGCGGGACCGGGTCGGGGGTGGCCCAGGACAGCGTGCGCCGGGGAGCGGACCTCAGAGGTGAGGTGGCCAAGGGGAGACGGGCCTGGAGGGGTGGCCTCCTGGCAAATTCTGTGAGGCCCTAATTAGAGGGTGCCGCAGCGGGTCGAATGGCATCCCCTGGGAGGATGTGCCAGCCTAACCCTCACTGAGGACAGGCTCTTCACAGACATGATCGAGTTAAGCGCCTCAGGCCTGGAAACGACAGACAAGTGACCCACGGAGCGGACCCCGCCATCAGGTGCGTCCCCTCTGCAGGTGGCCGCTGTGGGTGGGGGTCCCACAGGGCCGTTCTCAGCTCCGCCTGGAGGGTCAGGAAAGCCACAGCCCCAAGGGGCGCATCCTGTTTTGGAGGCCGGCCTGTGGGGCCCTTTCTGGACTTGCCCACTTTTCTGCTCAGGTAAGTGCACAGGTATAAACCCTCCTGTGGGGTGTCCCATGTCTTACGGGAAGGTCAGGAAAGGCCAGCCCCGGGTGAGAACAGGTCGGACCTGCCGCCTACACTCAGGGGTCCACAGGAACCCTCAGAGACAGAAAAAAGGGGCACGGGGAGAGGCTTCCCTCCCCGCCCCCCCCCTCCCCCAGGCCAGAGGGCATCGGCCAGGTGGGGGGCTGGGAAGGTGATGCGGGCACCTGGCCCTGGGAGCGGGTGGCCCCCCAGGCTACGTGGTCAGCCCCCCGCAGTGTGGATGAGCCCACCCTCTTCTGGTAGGTCCAGTCCCCACGGAGAAGCTGAGGGTTTTCCTACCCTCAGGCCTCACGGAAACTTCTGGGCTCCTCAGAGCCCCAAGGAGACTGCGAGCTCCGTGGCGGGGCCCCTCCTGGACCAGCCTCGCTCGCTGCCTCCTGCTTGTACCCTGGCCATGGCCAGGGCGGTCCACCCACCCGCAGCCACCCCACCTGCCCCCTCTGTTTCCCCCTCACCCCTGGGCCCGGCAGAGTCCCCTGCTTCAAGGCTGCAGGGGACCCGGTATTGGCCCATCAAAAGCTCACCACCCTTCCTGGAGGTAAGCTCTTCCCCCGTGTTCAGGCCTGTGGAGTCCACTGCTGCCCCCCTCCCCGCCCCCACCCCTGCAGGGCCTGTGAACCCCACACCCTTGTGAACGAATGAATGAGTGAATGGACACACACCACGTGCTGGTGGAGTAGGGAGCTGGGGGCACACTCAACCGCAGACAGCCCAGTTCCAATCCCATGCCTCTGTGACCTCAAGCAAGCTGACTTACCCTCCTGTGCCTCATTCTCCTTGTCTGTAAAATGGGGCAGATAATCGGCCCCTGGCACCGGGCCAGACTGCAATGCAAGTCTAACACAGCTGTGACCAGACCGTCCTCATGAGAGCTCCAAGGGGCAGTTCTCACGTCTGCTCGGCTGACGGGGAAACTGAGGCACAGAGCGGGGTGCCGTGCTGGCAGGGGCTGGGACTAGCCTGGCCCAGATGAGCCCGGCTTTCCCGGGGGAGGCTGTGGGGTGCTGAGCCCCCTTCGTGTGGCCTTCCCACACCCAGCATCCCTCTAGAAGATGATGAAACACACGGGCATAAATGTCTCCAGAAATGAGAATCCAGTGTGCTCTTTCCAGGGGAACCCCGAGGAGCTCTGCTAATATGTTAACAGGTCTCCTGGGCCACAGCGCCCTCCCCCCGCCCCCCGCCCCCCGCCAGCAAACGGAGGGTCTGAAGGAGGAGGGCAGGGCACTCCCGGAGCCTGGTCCCTCAGAGGCTGTGCTCCTGGAAGGTGGGGGAGGACGGGGTCGGAGGTGTCCCTCCTGGTGTGGTTTCTGCGCAGGAGAAGCAGAGGGGCTGGGAGCGGCTGGGGAGCCAGCGTCACGTAAACTGGTTCCGGGAAACGTTTCGTGACAAGGGGGCTTAGACCCCCGTGGAAAGAAGCAGAGTAAGGACTCAGCAGCAAGTCCAATTCCTGTGGATTTCACACGGGCAAGACGGTAAGGAGGCGTGTTACGATTCTGTCCACGGTACGTGTAGTTGTGTCGGTGCACAGAAATTAGAACGGAGGTGTTATTATCCAGCCGTAAGGAAACGGGACGACATGCACGGGTCTTGGGGGCGCCGTCTAAGGGAGGTGAGTCAGAGAAAGACAAATACTGCGTGACCTCACTTACAGGTGGAGTCTTAAACACGAAAACAAGGGCCGCCCGGGTGGCTCAGTCCCTTAAGCGTCCGACCTCGGCTCAGGTCATGATCTCACAGTCTGTGAGTTCCAGTTCTGTGCTGACGGCTCAGAGCCTGGAGCCTGCTTCCGATTCTGTGTCTCCCCCTCTCTCTCTCTGTCCCTACCCTGCTGGTGCTCTGTCTCTCTCTCTCTCTCAAAGATAAATAAATATTAAAAATAGTTTTAAAAAAATGAACTGAAAGAAATACAGGAGACCCTGACAGTGGTTGGTTTTAAGTGGTGGAGTTAAAAGGGCTTTTTTTTTTATTTTAAATAAAATTTTTAGTGTAGGATCGTTTTACATTTACAGAAAAGTTGCAAAGATAGTACAGAAGGTCCCGTCACGCCCCCGCCCGGTTTCCTCTGTTGGGATATCTCGCATCAGTATCAGACGTTTGTCACAGCTAAGGAATCAGCATCAGCATACATGTACCCTCTGAATGCCACACGGCGTCCCACCAGTGTCCCCACGAATCGCTTTTCCCAGTCCAGGACACCATCCGGGACCCCACGCGACATTCAGTCCTCACGTCTCCCTGAGTTCCTCTGGGCCCTGACTTTCTCAGACTTTCTCCTGGTTTTTCATGACCTTGACAGTTTTGAGGGGTTCGGGTACTTTGCCGATTGCCTCTTAGATTTCAGCTTGTGTGCGCTTTCCTCGTGGTGTCACTGGGGTTACAGGTGTCTGGGAGGAAGGGCACAGAGGTGAGGACCATCCCTACCGCAGCAGGTCCAGAGTGCACGCCCTCGAGGGGGCCTATGGCCGCGGTGCTGGCCTCGCTGGCCGTGTGGTCACTGGAGACTGGAACTCATTCTCTCGCTGTGTCCACGCTGTCCCTTTGGAGGATGTCCCCAGGCACAGCCCACATCTGCAGGGGGAGGGCCGCTCCCTCTTTGAAGGCAGAGACTGGAGTTATGTGCATTCTGGTGAATTCTTCTGCTGGGAGACTGGTCTCTTCTCTCCCATTTGCTTATTCAAGCATCTATTTACATCACTATGAGCTCATGAATATTTATGTCAGACTCTGAGTTGTAATTCAATGCTGTTCTGTTATTTTCTTGCCCAACGGCTCCAGCTCTGGCTATTGGGAGCTCTTCTTGGCTCCCGGGCCTTTCTTGCCAGAAAACAGCCTGCTTCTACTTCTAAAGGTTCTGAGCTGCCCCTGGCCTCCCGGGATGCTTAGGAGGAGAGAAACAAATCACCCAGATCTCTCACCCTCTTCGTGGAGACGGCTCGGCTCATTTCAACATCCGCCCAAAGCGCGGGCCACACTCTGTGCCCCACCCCAGGGCAGCGGCCCACACGCCTGGCTCCCACGGGGCCAGGGAAGCCCAACTTCCACTCACTGAAGTGCTTTCTCGTGATGATCATTCTAAATGTTCTTACAAGGCAACTATTTGCTTGTTTACCTCCCCGAGCAGGTCACAATCCTTGAGCTTAGGGAGAGCGACTTAACTCCTATCTTGTACTGTTAACGTGTAGCACAGGCTTGACAAGGTGCTGTCGGCTACCCACGCCTGATGGATGCGGAATGCGTGCATGAATGCATAAGTCCATCTCAATTTGTGGCTCCCAAGGAACTGTCTGTTTGCTTTTCTCCTTCAGGAGGAAAAGATTCCTAGGGATATTTAAGAAGCCTGGAGACCCGACGTCATAAAAATTCTCATTCACTCATTTCCTTCTATTTTTCAAAGCTTCGCACATCAATGAAGGCTCGTTCGTACGTTCGTTCATTCATTCATCCATTCATTCTTTCTTCTGCAGAATCAAGCAAAGATTTAGGTATGCACAGGGCTTTGTGGCAGCAGAGCCGGGAGAACGTAGCATCCAGGTACAGGGCAAAAGGGAGGGCTTCCTGGAGGAGGTGATACCCAGATGTGCCCTCACAGTGGGACCACGACAACCCCAACCTCAACCCTGATAATTCAGAATCGGACTTTACAACTTCAAAATGAATCCACAAGTGATAACATTAAAACAGCTCCTTTGAAAATTTCTGAGCCCCTGGTTCTGGGCAATTCCAACACAGCTGACTATTTCTCATTTAAGTTTGGTGTCCCTGCTTTGCAGGTGCCCCCAGCATGAGTTTAGCCTGGTTGTATGATAGGACACATTTCCTCTCACTTGTCAAACACCTCCTCATCTGCGGAGGCTCATTTCAAACACCACCTCCTCCAGGAAGCCTTCCATGATACATATCCTCCAACAGAGTTACTCCAATCCCGCCTCTGCCCCTTCCTCCAGCGTCTTGTGCATTCATTTGCTCCACGGCCCAGCATTCCTAGCGTCCTTCTCTTTGGGAGCCCATCTTTCCATTCGGTCTGGGCCTGTGTCTTTGCCACTGTTCCACCTCCAGCCCAGAGCACAGGGCCTGGCACTGAGTGGGCGCCATGTTCCCAATAAGCGGGGGTTGGCGCTATCCCCGCAC